CCGCCTCCCCGTCGAGATTTTACTGGCGTTATTTCTCTTTGTGACGCTCTGGCGGTGTCTACTGACGTCACTACTGTCCGTCCAGGTCGACCTGTTTTGATTGCTTCCGCTCTGTAAAAATTCGGCTAATCGACGTCTTGATCACACGGGAGGTGCGGCCGGGGGTGTGAAGGCCTTTAGGGTGTTGGTGGTTCCGTGCGGCCCGGCCGCCCCTTTTTCCGTGTCCTTAAAATTTGCTAAAGCCTGTGGGAAATCACCGACGACGAGTGGAATTTCGAAATGAACGTGAGCTTGACCGGAGCGTTCTATTGCGCCCGATCTGCCTCACGATCAATGGCCGACCGGGGCAAGGGAAAAATCATTAACGTTGCATCGGGATTCGGCCTGCGGGGCGGACGGGACATCTACATGTACTGCTGCAGCAAGGGAGGCATGATCCAACTGACCCGGGTTTTGTCTTTTAACCTGGCCCGATACGGCATTACCGCAAACACTTGGTGCCGGGATATATCCCTACCGAAAGCGCAGATGAGTCTATGGGCAACACGGTGCCCCGGTCCGGCGACTTGCTGCCCATCGGCAAACTGGGCAAGCCTGAGATGTGGCGGCCGTGTTCCGGCCTCCCACGCTCGTACTGACAACATGACTGGGGAACATGTTCTACGCGTGACTGCGGGCGGTTGGCCGGCGGAATCGCTCCCACGGGACACGACCCCGTGGTCCCATTGGAGGCTTAGAACGTGCCCGTCTTGCCCGAGTTCAGCTTGGCCGGCAAAGTAGCGGTCCTTTCTACCACGACCGGCGATGAAGCCCCTTTTCTGGCCCAATACCTGGTCGAAGCCGGGCAACATCTTGTTTTATTGTTATCGCCAGGACGGGCCCGAACGCTGGACGCAGGGGCGCTGATGTTCCCTCCTTGGACCAGCGGCCCTACTACGCCGGGAGCGGGCCGGTGACAACGCGCGGTCGCGTGTTTCATCTCAACACTGCAGACCTCCGGCGGCGTGCAGCGGGCCATGGAAGCGTTCGACTCCCAGTTCAGCCGGGTGGACCTCCTGGTACAATGACGCCGCAGCATGCGATGCACACGCGCTGGCGCGTGGGCCCATGACCGAAATCTCGTCTCCGACGAGTGGGACGAGGTGCACTCCAGGAATGCCAAAGCCACCTTCCTGTTGTGCCAGGCGTGGCAGCCGGACTGGTGGAGCAGTGTATGCCAGCATCGTCAACGTGATCTCGGAGCTGGCCGAGCGCGGGATGATCAACGGGTCCGCTTTCCGCCGCTGAGCCAGGCCTGCGCTGCTCCCCTGACAGTGTCCATGGCGGTCGAGCGGTCCAATATAAGAGTCAACGCTTTGGGGACCGGCTGGTTCTCCACGGAAGACCTTCCCCCGGAGGACCAACAACGGGAATTGTTGGTGAGGTACACGCCCCTACGCCGCAAGGGCACCCCCGGATATCGGGCCGTTGCTGGTCTAACCCTTGCGCTATTCCTGTTATTACTCCACCACCGGCCAGCCCGTTTACGTGGACGGTGGCCTCAACGCCCATCCATGACCGCCCCGCCGTGCCCCCACAAAAAAACTCTGCGCTCTCTGTGTTCTCTGTGGTGAAAACTGCCTTGGGCGCGGTCGCCCAGACGTTGCCCCAAAGGATCGGGATGGGCGTATGCTAAGATGTTCGGCAGTTACGGCTTTCGACCATGCCGAAGCCAAACTGTGCCCAAACTGAGGATTGGAGACCGGCCATGACCAGCAACCCCCGCCCGGTGGAACTTCGCTACGACCCCGCCGCCATCGACCAGAAATGGCAGGAGCGTTGGGAGAAGGACGGAATCCACCGGGTCGACAACGAAGACCCCCGGCCCAAGTGGTACGAAATGACCATGTACCCCTATCCCTCGGGGGACCTCCACATCGGGCACTGGTATGCCATGGCCCCGGCGGACTGCCACGCCCGGTTCCGGCGTATGCAGGGGTACAACGTCCTTCACCCAATCGGTTTTGACGCCTTTGGACTGCCGGCCGAAAACGCTGCCATCAGCCGGGGTATCCATCCCCACACCTGGACCATGGACAACATCGCCAACATGCGCCGGCAGCTGCGTTCCATCGGAGCGGTTTACGATTGGGATCGGGAAATTGTCTGCTGCCTGCCTGAGTTTTATCGGTGGAACCAATGGCTGTTCCTCCAGTTCTACAAAGCGGGACTGGCCTACCGGGGGCGCGCCCCGGTGGTCTGGTGCCCGTCCTGCCAGACTGTTCTGGCCAATGAGCAGGTGTTAAACGGCGCCTGCGAGAGGTGCGGGGCCACAATCACTCGCCGCGACCTGGAGCAATGGTTCCCCTGCGCATCACCGAATATACCGACCGCCTACTGGATTTCCAGGGATTGGAGGACTGGCCGGAAAAAATCCTCACCATGCAGACCAATTGGATCGGCCGCAGTCGAGGGCGTCGAAATAGGCTTTGACATTAACGAGTACGGCCTTGAAACGAAGGAACTCAAGACCTTCACCACCCGCATAGACACCGTTTTTGGCGTCACTTTTATTGTGCTCGCTCCGGAACACCCCCTGGTGTGAACAGCTGACCACCGACGACCAGCGCGCCGCGGTCGCCGATTATATCGAGCAGGCGAGGCGGGCCTCTGAGATCGAACGACTGTCTACCGAAACCGAAAAGACGGGAGTCCCGCTTGGCTCCCACGCTGTCAACCGGCTGAACGGGGAGCGGGTGCCGATTTACATCGGCGACTATGTGCTGATGAGCTACGGCTCCGGCGCGGTGATGGGTGTGCCGGCCCACGACTCCAGGGACTTTGCGTTTGCCAATAAGTACGGGCTGCCGGTCCGGATTGTCATCGCTCCGATCACCTGGGACGGCAGCGATTTGACCGAAGCCTATCTGGACGACGGCTTCATGACCAACTCTGGAAAGTACGAAGGGATGACTGACGAGGAGGGCAAGCAGGCCATCGCCGACGACATCGAAAAGAACGGATGGGGCCGGCGCACAGTTTCATACCGAGTGCGGGACTGGATAATCTCCCGGCAGCGTTACTGGGGGACGCCCATACCGTATGTGTACTGTCGAGCCCAGTGCGGCATCGTTCCGTAGACCCCGAGGACGCTCTGCTGGGGCCGTGCTCTCTGCGCCCGACGCGGAGTTCAAACCAACTGGGGAATCACCGTTGGCCGCCAATGCCGATTTCGTGAACACCGCCTGTCCTCAATGCACCGGACCCGCCCGCCGAGAGACCGACACCATGGACACCTTCTTCGACTCGTCGTGTACATGCTCCGCTACTTGGATCCGAACTACGATAAGGGGCCCTTTGACCTGACCCATGCGCCCGGCAGTGAGATGCGTCGACCAATACACCGGCGGAGCCGAACACGCCGTGATGCACCTGCTCTACTCCCGGTTTTTCGTCAAGGCGCTCCACGACATGGGAGTGCTGGACTTCGACGAGCCATTTTTGCGTCTGTATAACCAGGGTGTGATCCTGGGTGAAGACCACGAAAAGATGAGCAAGAGCCGGGGCAATTTGGTCAACCCCGACGAGGTCGTGGGCCAGCTGGGCGCCGACGCCGTCCGGTGCTTCCTCATGTTCATCGGCCCCTGGGACCAGGGCGGGCCCTGGAGCGACGTGGGAATCATTGGCACCGCCCGCTGGCTCAACCGGGTTTGGGACCTCGTGGAACGTGACCCATCCCAACTGGATCCGGCAACTTTGGACCCGGAATCGGTGCGCCAGACCCAACGGGTCCTGCACCAGACCATTCGTAAATGCTACAACGATCTCGACCAGTTCAAATTTAACACCGCCATTGCCGCGTTGATGGAGTTTTCCAATCACCTGAACCGGGTCTGGGCCGATTCCAGCGTGGACCCGGAAACCTGGAGGCAGTGCGTGGAGCATTTTCTGCTGCTGCTGGCGCCGATGGCTCCGCATTTCACCGAAGAGCTTTGGGAGAGGAAAGGTTTGCCCTACAGCATCCACCAGCAGAGTTTTCCGGCTTGGGACGAGGGGCTTGCCGCCAACGACATGATTACGCTGGTGGTCCAGGTCAACGGCAAGGTGCGGGACCGGTTGAACGTGCCGGCGGATATCGACGAAGCCGCCGCCCAGGCCCAGGCGCTGACCAGTCCCCGGGTTCAAGCTACACCCAGGGTAAAGCGGTCGCCAAAACAATTTATGTCCCTGGCCGCTTGGTCAACCTGGTTCTCGGCTAGAACAGGGCGATCGCATTACGAACTGACGGCTGGTGCATCCGAAATGTGATCCTTCCTGCGGCTAGGAGAAGTCAGGATGGGAGCAAAACCCCACCCCCCGTCATTCTCGCCGCCGCGGGAATCCAGAGCCCTTTCCACATCGAAATACGTGGGGCAATGGAGGAGTGACCACATGGGGCCGGATTGCCTGGCTGAGAGGCAGAGCGTCCTGGGTATCCTGACCAGAATATTGAGATAAAGGGCTCTGGATTCCCGCTGCGGCTGGAATGACGGGTGGGGGTCACCCGAGTATTGGCATTGTAAATGTGATTGCCCTATCGGTTAGAAATAGCGTTTCGGTTAGAATTCTAGAGTAGCAGTCAAACGCCAGCGGGCGTCGTCGCACGAGCCGTGTGGCTGCGTTGGTGTTGCTAGTTAGTGTGCTAAACTGGGGCGGCTTTCCCAGCAGAATTCAAGCTGAATTTTGTCAAAAAACCACCGGGAGGAGGGTCGATGACCACCGAAGTTAAGCCTCAGGACAAAACGGTCTCCGCCAATGGCCTGAACATCCACTACCTCGATTGGGGCAACCCGACTGCGACCACTATGGTGCTGCTTCACGGGCTCAGGGGTCATGGTCATTCCTGGGACGATGTTTCCGCGGCTTTCTGTCAGGATTACCACGTCCTGGCCGTTGATCAACGAGGCCGGGGAGAGACCGACTGGGCCAGACGGCGACTACACGACCGACGCCTACGTGGCAGACCTCGAAGGTTTTTGTGCAGCCTTAGGGTTGGACTCTTTGTCCTGGTGGGACACTCAATGGGGGGCCGCAACAGCCTGGTTTTCGCCAGCCGGCATCCTGCCCAACTCCAAAAGTTGGTGGCGGTGGACGTGGGTCCGGACATGGACCCCAGGGGCAGCCAGCGGATCACGCAAGAATTGATTAGCGCGCCCAGTGAGTTCATTCGTTTGAGGAAATGTTCGAGCTGGTGAACGGGCAAAACCGCTTCGCTTCAGAGTCGGTCATTCGCCGCCGGGTCCAGTACGCGAGCCGGCAGCTGCCGAACGGCAAATTCGGTTGGCGGTACGATTCGGAAATAAGAGAGGCAAGGCGGCGGGGAGGCAGCGCTCCACAGATGGACCTGTGGCCGGAGTTGCCCAAAATCACCTGTACCACCCTGGTCATTCGCGGCTTGGAAACCGACGTACTCGCTTCCGACACGGCCCAAAGAATGCTTAAGGAATTGCCAGACGGGCATTTGACGGAAGTCCAACGCGCCGGGCACATGGTTTTTGAAGACAACCCCGAAGATCACCATCGCGGCCATGCGCCAGTTCCTCGGCTAGAAGTTCCTCGGCTAGGTAGACGGCCGCGGACTATTCCGGATTTCAGGCCGGGAACTCAGGCGTTGAAACCCGAGGGCGGCGTGTTTAATGCCGCAATGGGAAGATAATGACCTCCAATGATCCTGTGGGACCTGTGGGAGATGACTTGGCTCCCGCTCAAATGTCCATGGCGGTGCGGGAAATTTGGCGGGGCCTCTACCGGAAGGGGCTGTGGGTGAAGGGATACTGTTCCGCACCAGCCGGGGCGATATCCAGGGCATCCTGCACCGAGCCGCCCAAGGCGTTGTTGAAAAGTCCCCGGAGAACTCCCCTGGAACCCCCGGGGGAGTGGTTTGGGTCTGCGGCGCCCGTGGAGGCTTTGGCGGCCCTGGGCAAGGGTCTTACGAGCGGCTGGCCGAGGAGTTCCGGGGCAGTGGCATAACGTCCCTCCGCCTGGACTACCGTCTGCCAAACCTGTTGGACGAGTGCGTCCTGGACCTTCTGGTGGGTGTGGCCGGCCTGCATGGCTTGGGCTGCGGTCCCGTAGTAGTGGTCGGACATTCTTTCGGCGGCGCAGTGGTTATCGCTGCCGCGGCGGCCAGTCCTACGATTTCTGGGGTGGTTTCGCTTTCGCCCCAGACCTATGGAGCAGACGGCGCCGGAAGAATCTCACCCCGGCCAATTTTGCTGGCCCACGGGACGGCCGACACCCGACTCCCTTTTAGCTGCGCCGTGAGAATCCACGACATGGCCCAAGAGCCGAAAAAACTGGTTCTATTGGAAGGGGCGGAGCACCGACTCGAAGAGCGCCGGGATGAACTGGAAGCCCTGTTGCGGGACTGGATTCCAACCACTCTGACCGCGGCCGAAGCAACCCAATGAATATCAAGACCGCGTTGGCTCCACTGCCTTACTCCGCGGTCTGCTCAGAGTAGCAGGGGAACCACTTTCCTCGGCGATCATTTGTATTTGGTCCACGTCGGTGTCACAGGGGCCCAGCATGACGGTCTTGGCACCGGCGTCGATGAAAGGCTGAATCTTGGCGGCGCACCGGTCGGGTAATCCAAAGGCGCAATGTTCGTCAACGTCGTACCAGGCCCTAGTACGGGTGAAGGGATGCCCGCAGGTCAGCCTACACTTCTCTTCGTCAGGTCCGGTCGCAATGTAAATCAGTTTACCCGATTCCAGTGAGTTCGGGCTTTTCCCAGCCACCTGGCCATGGCTCTGGACTGTCTGCCAGGCCTGAGCGAAGGCCTCGGCATCGCCGGTGCTGCCCGCCACCCACCCGTCGGCGTTCGTGCGCTCCTTCTCAGAAGTGTGTCTGCCCGGCCTCCCAGAATAATCGGTATCGACCGGTTCTCTGCCGGTCCAGGGCGGACGGTAACGGCGTCCAGGTCGTAGTAACGACCGTGGAAGGTGACCTCATTTCCCTCCCATAGCCGGCGCATTATCCGCAACCCTTCGTTAAACCGGCCGACCCGTTGGCCGACATCCACGCCCAGAGACTGGAACTCTCATCTCGTCTCCCAGCGATATACCCAGCGTGAGGCGTCCCCCGGACATGTAGTCCAGTGTCGCCGTGGTCTTGGCCACCAGCGCCGGGTGCCGGAGCGCGAACAGAATGACGGCGGTTCCCAGGCGGATAGTTGAGGTTGACGCCGCGGCGCAGGCCAGCAGCGTAAAGGGATCCAGGATATTGATCCGATGGAAAATCCGGTCGGTGGCCCAGACGGACTCGAACCCCAACTCCTCGGCGGAGCGGAAGAACCTGGCGAATTCGTCCATCTTGGGCGGCGGGCCCTCATAACTGCCGGGCACAAGAATTCCGATGTTTGCGTTGGTGGGCATGCTATCCTCCGGGGCGTCTGGCTCCAGAACGTCAAATATAAGCTGTGAAACCGTCTGCGGCGCCTCGACAATTGAAAATGGCCTTAGAAACTATCTCAAAACTTGAAGCGGCCATCATCCCGTCTTGAGATAGTTGGATCGGGGGTTTGGGGGATGAATCCCCCAACGTAGCCCCGCCACCCAAGGACCTCGATTTTTGTTTCTGAGATAGTTCCTTAAAACTGGGACAGGAACTCACAACCCGTTTCGTATATTGTTGTGGAGCTTCACCGTGGGGCGGCGTCTCCCCCCATTGGCTGTTGGGGACCAACCGGTGGACCCGCTCAGCCAACGGCCGGGGATGGATGTAATTGGACCCGGGCATGATGATAGCGGGTGTTCGGATTCCCTTGAGAGCTTCTGCGGTCATCCCCAGGCTGACGTAGGGTCCGTCAAACAGGGCGTAGATAGTGTCCCGCATGACCTGGGAGAATTCCTCGGGCCGCATGGATTCCAGGCTGCTCCGGTACTCGGAATCATGTTGGGCCCGCTCCGGGCTGAATGGCGAAAACCGGTCGTCCGGGTCGAAGGCGTCAATGACTGTCCCGATCCCCTGGTTCATGGCCATGTCCAGGCTGTGGAACAGCTTCCCTGCCAGATAGGCATCGCAAATGGTGCCGCCCGCAATGTTTGAAGGGAAGATGGCCTTGACCCGCTCCGGATTTCGGGAGGCGCACCCAAAGGAAATCGCCGCCCCGAAAGAACCTCCACCCAAGAAGGCTTGGCTCAATGTTCAGCGAGTCCATCAGGTCAAAGACATCCTGACAGACCATGTCCCAGGTTTGCACCGTTAGCGGGCTCTTGGATGGCCTCCCGAAACGACGGTCGTAGGTTATTACGCGAAAAGATCCGGCCAGAGCCCGACAACCTCGGAGTAGCTGTCCAGATGTCCCTGCAAGCCGCCCGCGGACAGGACCACCGGCTCCCCGCTCCCCGACTCCTCGTAGTAAAGTTCACCACCGGAAACTTTAGCAAAGGGCATCGTTCACCTCAAAATCCAGTCTGGAACGCTGCCGGGACACGGGCCAGGCGATTCCAGTTGCCGGGCGTCCCGGTAGGGCATTTTGGGTGATTATAGGTTCGTTCGCAACGGGAATCCAGAGCCCTATACACCAAAGAGAACAGGGAGCATCTATTTTTACCTGAAAGTTTCTGCCTCCTCTGTGCTCTCTCCGGTGAATAGAACGTACCTTTAACCGTGTTAAAATCTCTGCAGCGCCCCAAAGATTGCTTGGCGAGTGGACGTGCGGCCTGAGTTGCTTGATGGGTGCACCATGAACGGAGGTTAAGGGCGATGGCTTCGAATACAGTTTTGGCAACTGAGCACTTCAACGTGGTGGGCACCCGGCCCATCCGACACGACGGGGCCGATAAAGTCACCGGCCGGGCCCAATACGGCGCCGATATCCAATTGCCGGGGTTGCTCTTCGGCAAGATTTTACGCAGTCCTCATGCCCATGCCCGGGTCAAGTCCATCGATGCCAGCCGCGCCCTGGCGCTTCCCGGTGTGAAAGCAGTGGTCACATCTGCCGATTTCTCCCAACATGGCGGCAGGTTGGCGGACATCGGGGAAGGCGCAATGAGCAATCCCAGATTTCTTAGCAACAACTGCCTGGCGGCCGACAAGGTGTTGTACAAAGGCCACGCCGTTGCCGGAGTGGCGGCCGAAAATTCGAGCATTGCGGAACTGGCTCTGGCGTTGATTGATGTGGACTACGAAGTGCTGCCCGCGGTCGTGGACGTGCTGGACGCCATGAAAGACGCTCCCGTGCTGCACGAAAGACTGGCGAACGCAGTCAGTCCTGCAGTTCGAGCCGGCTGGATTGCGCTCCGACGATGACGATAGTGTCAGCACCAACGTCGCCAACCGTTTTGTGTTCGAAGTCGGCGACCTCGAGAAAGGGTTCCAAGAGGCAGACGTAATCGTAGAGCGGGAATACCGGACCGCAACCGTTTGCACCAGGGCTACATCGAACCCCACTCTGCCACGGCTCTTTGGAGCCCCGACGGTAAGGCGACGATCTGGTGTAGCAGCCAGGGGCACTTCAACATCCGCGACCAGACCGCCAACATGCTGGGCATCCCGGTGTCCAGCGTCAAGGTCATCCGATGGAAATCGGCGGCGGATTCGGCGCCAAGACGTTGGTATTTGTATACCTGGAACCGGTGGCCCTGATGTTGTCCCGGAAGACCGGGAAGCCCGTGAAAGTTTCTATGAGCCGGGCCGAGGTCTTTGAAGGCACCGGCCCCACCTCCGGCACCTACATCCGGTTCAAGGTGGGCGCCAACAAGGCAGGACGCATCACTGCCGCTGACGCCACCCTGATCTACGAGGCAGGAGCTTTCCCGGGCTCGCCGGTGAATCCCGGCGTTCAGTGCATGCTGGGACCCTACGACATCGAGAACGGGCGGATTGAAGGGTATGACGTCGTCCTGAACAAGCCCAAGACCGCAGCTTACCGGGCCCCAGGTGCACCGGCGGCTGCGTTTGCCGCGGAGACGGTGATGGATGAGGTTGCCGAACAACTGGGGATAGACCCCTTGGAGTTTCGTCTGATCAACGGCTCCAAGGAAGGCACCCGGAGAATCCCCGGGCCCGTGTTCCCGCGAATCGGCTTCTTGGAGACGGTCCAAGCGGCCAAGGACCACGAACATTATTCACAACCGCTGACCAAAGGCCACAATGGGACCCTGGTCGGACGGGGCGCCGCCGCCGGGTTCTGGTTCAACGGCACCGGTGCTTCCTCTGCTACTGCCAGCGTGATCTCTGATGGCACTGTGAGCCTGGTTGAGGGCTCGCCGGACATCGGAGGCAGCCGGGCCGCGGTGGCCATGCAACTGGCCGAGGTGCTCGGGATTGCCGCGGAGGACGTTAAGCCACAGGTTGGCGACACCGACTCTGTTGGTTTCACCTCGGTGACCGGGGGGAGCGGAGTGGCCTTCAAGACCGGTTGGGCCTGCTACGAAGCCGCCTTGGACGTGAAGCGTCAAATGGTCCAGAGGGCCGCAACTATTTGGGACGTTTCCGCTGACGACGTGGAATACCAGGACGCGGTTATTTCCCACAAGTCAGACCCCGAGTTGCGCATGACATTCAAACAGCTGGCGGCCCGGCTCAACGGCACCGGCGGACCGATAGTAGGCCGGGCCAACGTCGATCCTCGGGGAGCCGGCCCTGCGTTCGCCGTCCACCTGGTGGATGTGGAAGTAGACCCCGAGACCGGCAAGGTGGACATCCTGCGTTACACTGCTCTGCAGGACGCCGGAAAAGCAGTCCATCCCAGCTACGTGGAAGGCCAGATGCAAGGCGGAGCGGTCCAGGGCATCGGCTGGGCGTTGAATGAGGAGTACTTCTTCAACCAAAACAGCGAGATGGTCAACTCCAGCTTCTTGGACTATCGCATGCCCACTAGCCTGGACCTGCCCATGATCGACACCACGATCGTCGAGGTGGCCAACCCCGCCCATCCATTCGGAGTCCGTGGGGTCGGCGAGGTCTCCATAGTTCCGCCGATGGCAGCCATCGCCAACGCCATCTACAACGCTATCGGCGTCAGAATGCCAAAGCTTCCCATGTCCCCCGGGAGCATCCTGGAAGCGCTTTGGGAAAACGGGGCCGGCGAAGGCAAATAGCCCGGCTTTAGGGTAAGTCGGAGAGACTAGGCAGGGGCGCGGTTTACCGCGCCCCTGCCTTTTGTCCCAAGTGGCCGTCCGACGGAACTTAGAACCTATCTCAAAACTTGAAACAGCCATCGACCCGTCTTGAGATATTTGGATCGGGGGTTGGGGGATGAATCCCCAACGTAGACCCAACGACCCAAGGGCCTCCGAAATTAGGTTTGAGATAGTTTCTTACTCCCAACTCAGCGGTTTCCTAGCCACGGACCAGGTTTCGCTGGTTCCGTTAGCCCCGCGACTACCGCATTGACAAAGGAGACTGTTCAATGGCCGTGATTCCGGTCAGCGCTCGCGAGGTTTCCGTCCATATACATGCCGACCGGCGGCTGGCTTTCCAGGTCCTGACTGCATTCGGCGCTGGTGGGCAGAACCAGGCTAGTTCCAAGGTGCTCCGGCGAGACGAGGACCGGCTGCTGGTCGAGTTCCACACGCCGGGAATCAGCTTGACCGGGCGGCGTGTCTACCGCACGGTTGAGTGGGTCACCACCCAGGAACCCGCCGCCATATTTTTCGACGGGGTGGAAGGACCGCTTTCCATGCTTCACGACCGGTTCGATCTCGAAGAAGAGGGCGGTTGTACCTGTCTGACCTACCGGAGCGATTTTGGAATTTCTGGCTGGATACTCGGCTGGCTCGTGGCCCGGTTGGTGGTGCGTCGTATGCTCCACAAAACAATGGTGGAGCACATGGCAGAGTTGAAGGTCACTATCGAAGAACGGGCCAAACGCAGCCGGGTGTTCCCACAAAGACCGTGCAATTTATTGGACTCAGCCGGCTGATTCCGGTCGAAACTCCTGCCCAACCAACCAGAACAATCAATCCCCTCAACTGCTCGGACAACCCGAACAATACCCTGACTGACATCCGCTCCTTGCCAGCCCGCGTCACCCCTATCTACGATGATCCCTGCGATGCCTGACCATCAGCCGCCTGGCCATGGAGTGTAGGCGCAGGCAGCCATGCTCCCGGACTCCGCCAGAACTAAATGGCATCAATTGGCAACAAATGGCACTGTTTACAAAAATCGTATCTGGGACGATGCCACTAGCTACAAAAAATCAGTGAAAAATGGCGTGATTATGCAAAAACCTGCAAAAACCCGGTTTTTCCTGGGCAAACAGCGCCATTTTCAGGAAAAGCCCCGGCCCTTACCAACGGTCCGGCGACCGGAACTAAGTGGCACAAAATGGCAACAAATGGCACTGTTTATAAAAATTCGTGCCTGAGACGTTGCAACTAGCTACAAAAAAGCGGCCGAAAAATGGCGCGATGTGTGCAAAAGCCTGCAAAAACCCGGTTTTTCCTGGTCAAAAAGCGCCATTTTCAGGAAAAATCCCCTGTCCCCCGTCATCCTCGCCGCAGCGGGGATCCAGAGCCCTTGTTGTCATCCACACGGTTGGAGAATGGAGTTCCTGCCCCGGCTCCCGCCGCGCGTCATTGTTGCCCTAACCGTGTTGGCGCATTGTCAGGGCTCTGGATCCCCGCTGCGGCGAGGATGACGGGAGCGGTAGGATACGGGAGCGTGAGTAGGTAACAAATGGAGCGCTGGATTCCCGCCGCGGCAACAGTGACGGGGTGATTTGATGACAATCGAAGTACTCCCCCGTGGGAGAGGGCTGGGGTGAGGGCGTCCCCTCGACCCTGAACAGTTACCCCATCGGACCGGCTCTGGCAAAACCCTCCTGCTGCGTTTATGATGGTGCGGGAACCAAGGTCGCCTCACTGACTTTTGGGATTTTGGAGACTCAACCTCTGAGGGAGGAAAAGTAAATGGCTAACAATATCAGCATTTGTGTCGGAACCGTGGGCCAGGGAATATGGCAAAGCCCCGACGGGGGGCAAAACTGGGCAATGGTTAGGGACCCATTGCAGGTGGAGTCCCAGGTCAGGGCGTTGACTCCCCACCCCACAAAGCCCAACGTCATCTACGCCGGCGCCCAGAATGGCGTGTTCGTCAGCAACGACAAGGGCGTGAGTTGGGAACACATAGACTCCCCCATGAACGACCTGCACGTGTGGAGCATTGCCCTCGACCCCAATGACCCGGACACCATCTTCGTCGGCACCCGGCCGCCCTACGTCTTTCGCTCCAGGGACGGGGGCAAGAACTGGGAAAAGCTCCCGGTGGAAATGGCCATGGAATGCTCCATCGGCAGTCCCAGAATCACCGCGCTCGTGGTGGACTCGTCCAACCCTAAGAACGTCTGGGTTGGCGTGGAAATAGACGGCGTTTACCGCAGCCTGGACGGCGGCGATTCGTGGAGCAAGGTGGAAGAGGGCGTCGAAGACCCAGACATTCACGGCATAGCGGTTGCTCCCGGCAACGTTCTAGTCAGTACCCCCCGGGAGGTTTTCGCCAGCAACGATGTGGGCGAAAGCTGGCGGTCCCTGGTAAAGACCCAGGACTTTCCGCTTGGATACTGCCGCTGGGTTGCGGTCAAGCCCGACGACCCCGCCGTAGTCTTGGCCGCCAACGGCAGCGGCGCTTACGGCAGCACCGGGGGGCATCCAGAGGTCCAACGACGGCGGGCAGTCGTGGCAGGCCATGCCATTGCCAGTGGCTCCCAACTCCTCCGTCTGGGACTTCGCCTTCCACCCGTCGGACCCCAACACTATTGTGGCCAACACCCTCTATGGTGAGCTCTACACCAGCAACGATGGCGGCAACACTTGGGACAAGCTGCAGCGAGAGTTCGGCGAGGTCCGGGCCGTGGCCTGGATGCCCAACTAGCGACTACCATCCAACGCTGATGTATGCCCGGTTGGGGGCGTGGTAGCCGTTGCGCCGCCGCTCCCAACCGGCTTTTGTTTCTAACTCAAGGCTGTCCGGACCATCCGCGTGGCGACGCGCCTGCAACAGCGAAACAGTTACCTTCCGGCAGGAAAGCTATAGGTGAATGTGAAATCGCTGGTCCGGGCTTTCAGCAGTTGGAAATTTGCGCCATGATTCGGCCTAATCAAAGATAACCGAGGAGAAACCCGTGGCTTCAATACGACCCAATAAGGCAAAGGACAAGCTGAAGTCGGGCGGAGTCGTCACCACAATTTCCGGCTTGGCCAGCAGCGACATTATCGACTTCCTGGGCCCCATGGGATTTGACGCCGCCTGGCTCGAGACGGAGCATGGGTCGGTGACCTGGGACCAGTTGGGCGACATGACGCGGGCCTGCGACTTGTGGGGAGTTACTCCCATCACCAGGGTTACTTCCAATGAACCTTGGCTGATTACCCGCACACTGGACCGCGGCTCTATGGGTATAGTGGTTCCTCACGTCAATAGCAAAGAAGCCGCGGAAAAGGCGGCCCAATCGGCCAAATATGCCCCAATCGGATACCGGGGAATGTTCGGCGGCCGCCAGTCCTTCGGTGTTGCCGACTATTTCCACCAAGCCAACGATCAGACCATGGTGGTGGTCCTCCTGGAGGAGGCCGAGGCGCTGCGTAACCTGGATGAGATCCTTCAGGTCGACGACATTGATGTTTCTTCGTGGCGCCTTCAGACCTGGCCCAAACCATGGGGCACATTGGGAATCCCGGCCATCCCGACGTGTCAACGGGCTATCGACGAATCCATTGCCCGGATAATCGCTGCCGGCCGCGTGCCGGGAACGTTGGCCAATGACGAGAACATATCCGACTACTTGGCCAAGGGCGTCAAGTTTGTCATGACCTCATGGAATGCCTGGGTGGCCCGGGGAGCCGGGGATTTCCTGGCCAAAGTCACCGCCGCTACCCGGTGAAGCCGGGGTTCCTATCTCGCTGCTAAGCGCCGCGGCCGGGGAGCGTGCGCTGTTCTCATCACAAGGTCAGGTGGGCTCTTCGGGCAACCCGTCCGAGGATTGGGTGCGTCGTTTCTTGGAGTCGAGGGGCATGACCAACAGCGCTCCGGAAACAAACATTACTCCGCAGCCAATGAGCATGGCCGAGTACCCCGTTACGGCGTAGGAGTAGCCCAGCAAATGTAAATTGGGTTCAAGGTGGTTCAGAGCGTCAATTCCCGGTCCCAACAGCTTCGAGATTCCGGCCCCGCCAATGTTGGCCAGGTTGATAATGCCAATGTGTTGCGCCTCCCGGCCCGAGGTGCCCATCTCGTTGGCCAACGCCCAGTTCGCGCTTAGCAACATTCCCACCGAAATTCCGGTGGCGCTGCCTATTACCAACACTTGCGTTACATCATGGCGGCGAGCAGCGAGATGGTGGAAGCGGCGGCCCCCAACGCGCCGACCAGCATCAACGGCTTGCGGCCCACCCGGTCGGAGATCCGGCCGGTTAAGAAGACGCTCACCGCCAACCCGCCGCCTATTACCATTGTCATGCGCCCCAGCGCCTGGGCCGGATTTTCCAACCCAACCACGTCCTTGAGGAAAAACATTCCGTACGTTTGGAACGCGGCGATGCCGATCACCAGCAACAGCCGGGATATTACAAAGCGAGCCAATTGAGGGTGCAGCGGGGGCCGTAGCCCCTGCAGGACCCGTGGCGGGTTGGGTTGCTGCACTGGGACCGCCACGGGCTGGGGCCGTCCCCGGCCCACCGCGGTTACCGACGTTATGGCGGCGTTTACCACCACGCACACTGCCAAAACACCCAGGGCCATCCAGATCCAAAACCTCAGGTCGGAACCCGAGGCCAGGCCGATTAACTCGCCGGCCACGAGGATCAATGCCAACGCTCCGGCGGCGTCGGTGAGAATCTTGTAGGATGCAGCCTTCCCGACCAGTCCGCTGGGAACCAGGTCCTGGATCAACGCCTGGTATGGCCCGTAACCAACGTTGACGGTGCCTTGAACGAAAAGCCAGGCCGCAAACAACAAGGCGTAGTTGGGCGCCAGGCCCACCCCCACCAGCGCCGCGCAAACCAAGGCAGACCCCCAAATGATGAAGGGGACCCGCTTTCCCAAAGAAGACCTTGACTTGTCGCTCATGGGCGCGATGCCCAGTTGGACCACAGCAGCCAGCACCAACCCGCTGAAACCCAACAAGCCCAGGTATGTGTTTTTGAGGTTGTCGGAGGTCAACACCAACAGCAGTGCGGGCAGGATCATTACGTCCATGGCCAGGAGCAAGCCGTTGATGCCAAACCCGTAGGCGCTCAGACGCAAAAGCGCCAAGTCTCCCCAGTGGGGGTGTTTTTGGGGAACGGATGTGGGTCCGGTAGTGGGGGGGGTCACGGAGTTGGTTGCGCCACCGTCTGCACGGCCAAGGTTCAAACCTACGTGACCTCTATGATACAGCACACGGCGGCGTCCGGTGAGCTTCCTTGCCACCTGATTTGCCGCT